AAGAAAGAAAGAAAGAAAGAAAGAAAGAAAGAAAGAAAAAAAGAAAGAAAGAAAGAAAGAAAAAATAGAATTTGAATGCTTAGGGTAGAAAAAGCAATAGAAGAGTGAACAATATTAGAAAAATAGGACCATACTGATAATTTCTATGTAGTTGATATTTTTGAGACAGTCTCACATAGCCTAGATGAGCTACAGACCCTCTTACAGAGATAACTGTGATCCACCTGCCTCCATCTCCCAAGTACTAGGATTATAGGCATGACCATATTTAAATTTGGTCCTTCTCTGAGGACAACACCAATAGACATATCATAGCTGATGGGGAAAAACCCAATTCCTACAGCTGCAGGCAAATAAGAAATGCTGAGAGGGAGAGAAATAATCTTCCCAGGGAAGTACCAATTGGTTATCAACACCAAGTGGTCAACCCTGAAAACATGTTCATACAAGTAACATTATGTAGACTGAGCAGGTTATATAGAAATATAAGAATACATATGTACACACACACACACACACACATATATATATAGACTCATTCATATATATATATATATATATATATATATATATATATATATATATATATATATGTATGTATATATGAATATATATGAGGCCATAGATTTGAAAGAGAGCAAGGGGTAGATAGAACACAGAGGGGTAATAGTGGGGGTTGGAGGGAGGACAGGGAAGGGAAAAATGTAATGATATAATCTCAAAAATAGGAAGTAAAAAAACAATAATTCTATGGTACACAAACACACACACACACACACACACACGCGTGCCAATTTTATGGTTGAGCTTTTGCTAGCTTGCTCATTCCATTTCTCTACACCTATTCTTGGCTCTATTTTTCTCTTGGGAGGTAATAAAGTTGACTTGAATCATTTGGCTGAGCCAAAGCCTGATGCCTACAGTCAATGGTCATGAGCAATATTGCTTGCCAATAACATCTAAACTGATTTCATATTAATTAGTACCCCTTATGAGTTTTCTATCTTTAACAACATTTCATATTCTACTCGATTGTAACTTTCTTTCTCTTTAGTTTCCTAGGCAGAAATTTCTCCAGCTCTTTGTTTTATCACCATCATGAGAAATGTCTGTTCCTTCCCACCAGGAGAAAGAAAATCCAAACTAAATTTCTATTAATAAGTACATCAAACCTAGGTTTGCATCTGGCTTCATAATTATTTCTCTTGTGCCCATTGTCTGATGTTTCACAAATTTTAGATGCATAGTAAATAACTGTTTATTTAATGGATAGCTAAAACTCTATCATTTTTCAATCTTTATCTTTTAATGGGCTATAATAATGCTGAAGGGATATTATTTTGAGACATTCCCTAAGCTAACAGTTACTGTTAGTACCACAATTAATATGACAGTAGATATCATGATGAAAAAACAAATAAACTAGCAATAAGATACAGTAAGAAAGAAAATTATATATATATAAATATGTTATATATGTTATATATATATGTATATATATAAAACCATGATAGTCCCTTCCCAAGCTTTTTCTTTGATAATTGTGCAAGTGTGAAGAAGTGCATGTGGATCCTCAGAACCCTTGTAAGAAGCTAACCACAGTGGCAAGTGCTTTTAATAATGGGACATGGAGATGGGTTTATCCCTGTAACTTTCTGGCCACTAATTTAGTGTACTTAGAAAAGCTCCAAGCCAATGAAAGACCCAGCTGGAAGGTACCTAAGAGGTGATAGCCAAGATTGTACTCTAATCTCTAGGTTCACAAGTGAACCTTAAACACTTGTATACCCCTAAATATGAAGAAAAACACATGAAAAAGTGAAAAAAATCTGGAAACACTGCATTCACTATAATGATGGCTGATTTGGGAGTTTACCATACATTTCCACTTATCAATTATGCTCAGTGGATAGCAACATTAAGTTAGTAATATGGAAGTACTAACTAAATCTCTTAAGAATCAACTGTTGTGTAAATTGGGTAAAACTAAGATTTGGGTATATTGAAGTGATCTGAAAAAGAATGTATTGCAAAACTTTCAACATTTCCCATCCATAGGAAAATGCTTGCTCCTCACAGAAGTTAGCCACACATAGTTTCAGCATGATTCCGTATTATGCACCCATGGGTGGCCCCTGTCATGTCCTATTTCTTGTGGACTTACTCGGAGTCATACCCAGCATGATTATAGCAAGCTGAGAACTTTCGTATTTGACATTTAGGTCCTTTTCTTCACAAGATCTGTTTACTTTTTTATGGAGATGTAGAGAAATACACACAGCTCAGGAAATGGATATTTTCAGAGTTTGAACATAAATTCTCCTCATTGCTGATGTAGATCTCAATGACTTTGAGGCAAATATATGTCAGCTCGAGATATCCTTCACACTACCCATCACAAAGAGAGCTTTTCTCTTTGTCCTTAGACTAGAACAGCCCTAAATTCAAACTCAGTTTCTACTAATTTAAGCCCATTTAACCTGAAGAGAAAGCCAAGAGGGTGAGTTGGTTGGGGTCATTTATTCTGCCAAGTTTAGGTGGGTTTGTACTCGCTGAGGGTTGGAGCCAGGCCTGATCATTACAAGCTGGCACAGTAAAGTAAGCTACCACACCTTTAATGAACTTAATTCCCCTGTTTTGACAGAGTTCCCATTTCCAGTGATTCACACTTTATGTTTTAGACACTTCTCCTATAGGTGTTTGCCAAAGACCCTTCCTGGCAGCTGGGCACTAGATTAGTTAAAAAACTAGTACCAGGGTAAGAAACATCAAAAAATCATCTTTTGCTCTTCTGTAAGGCAGATTGGGGCGTTGGTTGTCCAGACTCAAAAGCATTCAGGTGACTGTTACACTCCCCTCAGATCCTCCTATCCCTCATAGTTTAGTTGTATTTTACACAATTTAGCAACTAGGTTCTTGGGAAGGGACTATGAAGACTATTAGATCTAAACAGATAGATACAAGTGTGTTAAATATTCCATAGGTGATAAATGCCATCACCAGAAATTTTATTCTATCTCAAGAGAAAGAAAAAGAGGCACTATTTGGAGATAACAAGGCTTACCAGAACTAAAAGAGGCTATAGTTGTTCCCAATCATTGCTCTGTAAATTATAATTGGGGGTACTTGAAGGCTAGTGGGAGTGAAAGATATAATCTTAGTTCATCCTTGCATCTCAGCTGGGGAGATAACAATGAGTAGCAGCTTTGTGTATGTATGGGTTATTAAATGTTATTAAATGTGTGTGTGTGTGTGTGTGTGTGTGTGTGTGTGTGTGTGTGTGTGTATAATTTTACAGATCTATGTTTGTTTTAGCTGCATGTATGTGTGCCGAACTTATATGCCTGGTGCCCACTGAGTCCAGAAGAGGGCATCATATTCCCTTGAACTAGAGTTACAGATGGTTGTGAGCCACCACATGGGTGCTGAGAATAGAACCTGAGGCTTCTGCAAGAGCAAAACTCTTTCTTAACCAATGAATGATCTCTTATGTTCCCACAAAGTATTTTAAAAGTAAGGCCTACGTCAAGTCTTAAAATTTTATTCTAGGTCAGTGGCTATTAAGTGTTAGAACTAAGACCAAGATTTACATTTATTTGGTTCCAAAACCTATATCATGTTAACAAATGTATGTGAATGCATGGTATGTGTGATGGCACATGTGCAGTGGTCAGGGAACAGCTTGCCAGAGATGGTTCTCTTTTTACATGATTTGGGTCCCAAGGATCATAATCAGGTAGGTCATCAGGTTTGGTGCCAGTACCTTTACTTGCTGAGTCATCTCACCAGAACGGAAACCTATACCTTCAAACTCTACTCCAAAATTAGGAAAGTTTAATGTAAAGGGAGAGAAAGGGATTTGAAAGACATATGCTCTCAGACTAACATACCGTTCTGCTCCTGTAGCAATTGGAATCAACCATTGACTATGTGTAAGTAAAAATAAATAAACAAACAAATAAACAAATAAATAAATGGTTGCTGGGAATGTGGCTCATTTGGAAAGTATTTGATTCACGTGAGCAAGCTCCTAGGCTTCATACCCAGTACTGCGGGCAAATAAGTTAGCAAACAAATGTAATAGAAAATAAAATCAATTGTTAAATGGATAGAGAGATGGATTAGCAGGTAAGCAATATCATTACTCTTTCAGACAACCTGAATTCAATTCTCCAAATCTGTGTTGGGTGGTCCACAACCACCATTAACTCCATTCCCAGAGTACCTGAATCCCTCTACTGGATGCCACAGGAACTTATATTCAACTGCGTGCATGTGTGTGAACACACACACACACACACACACACACACACACACACACACACACACACACAGAGGGGACGGGGGCAAGGCAAGAGAGAAAGAGAGAATTTTTAAAAAATAAAATGAAAAAATGTAAAAAGCAAATGTTACATTTATTCTTTCACACTGCCTTAGGGACTGGGTCATACTATGTTGTATTTTATTAGGGCCTCTCTTTAGTCTACTCAATGCACTTAATTATAAAGTTATGAATATGTTCCCTTGGTCTCTTATTTTTGTTCTTCCTTAACTATTTTCTCCTCATTTCCTTTCAGTGTTTCTTGTGTTTACCTGATGCTCCCAGCATTTTGATTACAAAAACAAACAACAACAAAACATTTTCCTCTCTCTAGAAAAATCCACATTGCACTCACACTGTTAGGTGATGTTCTTTTAATATGAAGCTGTCCATCACTGTGCCTTTGGTTTCTCTCTGTGTTGTGTAAAATCAACAGTTTCAGAATATATCGTGAATTTTTAAAGAATGAAAGTATGATGACAATGTCAGCATCTTACACAAAGACAGTTGTCCTGTATTTTTCTAAAATACAGTTGGTTTGCAGTTTTCATCTCATTGAGTTTTCTGCTCCTCGATAGTAAGGGGGCATTGCCACCTGGTGGAAAAAATACTGAGGGGTTTGTTGGTCACCTTGTGAAAATATGGATAACATGTTTATATGGACTGGGGGGTTTTACCTTATCATTCCAGCGCTTGGTGGTGCTTGAACAAGCTCCTTTTCAAGTTCAGAGCCTAAAATAATTAAATCCAAGAAAACGTAGATAATGATTCCATTTCAATAAACAGGGTCAGGTTGTCACTGTAGAATGAAATCACTTGGAGGGCTGTTTGCTCTTTCTACTTATTAAAACACCAAAGAGTCATTTTCCCCTCATTTATAGATTTTTCCACCTTTATTTTCTATAATTTCAAATGACTTCCTTTTTCATTGGCTATTTTTCATTCCTATTTTCAGTCATGCTCAGGTCCTCCAAATACATCCCCTTAACATTAACCTAATTTGTGTTTGAGCTATGTTGACATTTTGTTCCTCTCTATTTGTGGCCTGTCTACTACCCTTGATTTTTGTCTTCCTTCTCTCTGAAATCTCCCTTTCATTTTTCACCTTTCTTTCCTGAGTTCTCAAAAGCATTATAGGTGTGATTTATATAAGTAACTGTCTCTAATGCTTATGGCCCTTGACCTCTTTGCCACCTCAACTTCATCCTTAAAATTCTTCCTTGGTTTCCAGCTGTGTGGTTTCCTAATTCCATTCTCAGTATGGCTGTCACCTCCCCCCAAACCCAGTCTCTCTCTCTCTCTCTCTCTCTCTCTCTCTCTCTCTCTCTCTCTCTGTGTGTGTTTTCTGCCCCCATCCCTTCTTCATATGACCACTTTGCCTGGTCTCTCTCTCTCTCTTTTTTTTTTTTTTTTTTGTCTTTGGGCATCAAAGATGAAGTTGTTACCAACAGGTCATTCTTCCCACAGTCAAACTTTCTGGCTGGATTCATTTTATTTTTATAACTAATATTTCTTAGACTGGGTGGATATCACCTTTCTTGGAGTGGTACCCAAATTGTGCCTACCTTCTTAAACCCTAGCATTGGTTGAATTCTACTCTTGCCTAAAACAAGGGAACTTAGTTGTTTTTCTAACCACGTGATTTCCCAACTCTTATATTTAGATAAGTGACATCGCTCCCAATATTTAGTATTATAAATCTTAGAGCAATTAAAAAACAAGCTGCATTGTCTCTATCTGTCATCCTGGGCTTCTTCTAAATTCTTTAACTGAGTCAATTTCATGAACTGAAGATCTCTGTCTCTTTTAGTCACCATTGTGAGCACACATCTGGACAGCAAATATTTGTTGACAAAGAAGTAAAGAGAGGCTGGTGAGGTGGTTAACTGGTAAAGACAATTGTCACCATGCCTGATGATCTGAATTCAATCCCCAAAACCCACATAGGGAAAGGAAAGAATTGACTCCCACAAGTTGTTTTTTGACCTCCACACATGTACACAAAGCATGCACACACCATTGAAAAGATAAACAAGTAAGTGTAATGCAAAGACTTTTTTAAAGAAAGGAACACATGTTCTCATTGCAACACCTAGCTTGTATGTCATGACTCTAAAAGTAGGGACAATTTTTTAGAATATAGAATTCCGGTGTGACTGCACACTAAAATGACATGGGAATATTAAAATCCAAACTTCCTAGGACCCACATCCACATATAACGGATGACTAGGACAATTGTGTGGATTTGCAATACATAGCCTGAGATTTTCTCAGTGGTGTCTGCGCAGCTTTATTTTTGTAAACTTTTATCTGACCTACTAACTAGCATTCTATCCTACTGAGGAAATTCATACACAGTTACTTGCTTTGACTGTTAATGTAAGAAAATTCAAATAATTTCTGTGGATTTGACTCTAATATGAAAACATTCACTACGAAGATCAATTACACTGTTGTTTATATATTTTGTCTTCATATTGGTCACAAAACAGCCAATGACCATGAACATAAAAAAAAATAAAATGTCCTTGGAATGCTTCACTTCCCATCCAGAGATCTCTGATATTGTATATCCTTTATCCTGCTTCTAAAGCATAATTCATTTTTTATGGGAAATCATATGTAGACCACTATCTATGGGTGGAATTTTGGCTTTTTCTTTCATAAGAATTAAATATGATACAAAAAGAAAAGGAAAAAACGCTGACAGAAACCAATAAAAATGTGTCTTTGCATAAGCCAAAGCCCTTGCCATGCATCAGGGTGGCTCTTTTTCTTACTCAATCCATCATTGGCTATTTTCTTGCAAAAAGGATCAAAAGGCACATCTGTGAACAAAACATGTAGCAAACAGCATGAATGTAGTCCACTAAGACTTTACAGTGAGTAAAAAATTTAAAAAAATACCACATCTGACCAATAGCAGAACTCTGAGAAGTTCTTGTTGTAAAGATACCAAGTCTTCTACTAAGGAGTCTTTCATTTAAAGGCTCCCAAAATGATTCTGTTCTGGAACTCTTTCTTGATCTGTTTCCCACATGATCCCACAGTTTATATGCCGAGTGAAAGGCTAGTTAATAACAAATATTGCTTAGATGGATAAAGGACTGAAGTATACAGGAAACTAATGATATGTATCTTCTGGCTCTCTCTTGAAAAAAAATTGCTGTTCATTTGAACCTTTGGCCTCGACTTAAATATGCTGATGAAGAGATAGGTTGGAGTCTTTTGTGTGAAACACCAGATACCAAATATTTCCCAAGCATACCCTTTTGGAAATAGTCAACTGTACTCCTCTTTCACCAAAGCAGACACAGGGAATATATTAATTATTGGGTCTGACTATATTACAACATTACTTTTATATGCAAAAATAAAGGGAAAAAGGAAATTAGGCCAGGTTTGAGTTTTGCCAACACCTGCTCTGGGGGTAACACAAAATATGTGAGGGACTTCCTGCAACCTAATCATTCGGACAACCTGAACTTCTCTGCTCATAGTAGCCATGTGGAAGACAAATACATTTTGTGCTTTATGACATTGCAATTTGTGGTTTTGTCCAGAAAAATCTAAGTAGCTAATGCATACAGGATTCACCAAAATGAAGTGAAAACTTATTTGTTATTGCTGCTGTTATTGTTTTGTTTTTGTTATTATTTTTATTAATTGTTATTACTATTATTATTATTATTATTATTGCCATCATTTTCTAAGTTAATAATATTGTTGACTTATTTGCCTGTGCTTAACACCAGAAGTAGTCTTTAGCTTGTGGCTGTTATCCTACAGGTTGGTAAACTGGTTGATGTTAGTCACCTTGGCATTGTAGTGAATGGTTCATGCTAATAATATTTTGACAAATGAGAAAACAAAGGAAGTTTCTTTGCCCTGGCAAACCACAGTATAAATCACAGAACAGGAATGGGAGAGTAGGATGTTCTCACTGACATGCATCTAAAACCAAAGTATTTGTGTGTCATGGCCTCTGTTGGTGTAGATATGAGATGTTTTTGTTTGGATACACAGCTTGATTATTACAGATAGGCGTACTGTAGACTAGCAGAAAAACATATGTGCCTGTGTTCTTTGTTTTTACATATACTTATTTATTTTGTATGTGTAGGGGAGGCACTATGTACCACTACTCACATGCAAAGCTCCATTCTCTTCTTCTAGCCTGTCTGTTCTGGAATTGATCTCAGGTCTTCAGGCCTGGCACTAACTGCCTTTACCTGCTGAGCCACCTTTATAGCCCTCCATGTCTCTTTCACTATTTCTTTTTACTTTCTTTTTTATTTCTTTTACAGCATTTTACTTTGTTCTTTAGATTGACATTGAACCCTGTATCTTCCTGTTTCAGCACCTAGAATTGCAGATTCCACCACCGTGTCTCTCACTTAAATCCATGTGTTCATTATGGTAGCTAAACATGAGGAATCTATGGTTATGCATAAAACAACCTTCTAGTTTTTGCTCACTTCCTTGCTAACAACCTGGCAAATGGTTTATCTTAAGAGATGAAGCCCTGTAACTGAGATTCTAATCCTGTACTACCCAGCATGATGGCTGCTGGGCCATATGTGACTATTCAAACTAATTGAACTTAAAAAAAAATTGAAAAAGAATCAATCTTGTCATGCTCCAAAACTACATGTCTTTAGGAGCTAGAGATGTATTTCAGTAGTTAAGAATGGTCATTGCTCTGGAAGAAGACCTGGGTTCAATTCCCAGTATTCACATGACAGCTTACAACAACATGTAACTCCAGTTTCTAAGGATACTATACCCTCTTTTGGCCCTGAACACATATGATGCACATAAACTCATGCAGACAAACACACATACAGAATAGATAGATAGATAGATAGATAGATAGATAGATAGATAGATAGATAGATAGATAGGCAGGCAGACAGACAGAAACCTAGAGTACAGATCATTGTGAGCTCATTGGAGAAAGTCCTACTGGGCAACATTTTTTTGTATACTACATGGGGTTGGTTTTGCTTCCATGTACATTCACTCTCTCAAAACTTGACCTTTTAGGGACCTAGATACTTTTTCATTAACAGCCTTCAGAGGAAGCCACCCCCACCACTGGACCCTTTATTTAGTTTCCTTCCTTCTTTTTTCCTTTATTTGACTTCATACCTTTATAGTCCTGACACTTGCTTGCTGGTTGTCTGTCCTTCAGCACTAATTGCTTCTCAGCTGGATGGAGACAGGGTATTTAAATTCATAAAAGAAGAAGGAAGGAGAAAGAAAGAGAGCCAGGACAATGTGAGGAATCTGACCTCGAAGTGTGGAATCTACATGCAAACTGAATTTTCACACAGTCTATATGAACAATCCCCCAGGTTATTAGGCCTAAAGAATGCCTGTTTGCTTCCAAGCATTCTGATTTTCACATTCAAGTGTGTCAAGCTTCATTAGCTGATCTTTTTTACCCTCTGAGCAGCAAAATAAGAGTGAAAAAAGGTGTCTTATCCATGAGAGAAGCAGGATTCAGAATTCAGGATTCAAGGATGACATATTCTTGACAGGGGTAAACAGAATTATATGGTTCCTAATTGATATAAATTAATGTTTGATGTAAGGGAGGACAGAGAAAAGGGGAGTTCCCACTTCCTCTATTAAAATATTTACTATTCAAGTGTCACATCAGTCAAATATTTACCAAGAAAGTCCAAGAGTGAGGTACTACTGTCTAAGCCTGGACTACACTCATTCTGTTTCACTGCTCTTTGCTACCCTGTTTCTTTGTCTTCGTGGAGGAAAAAATATCACTAAGGAATTTTTCATTGTCAATGGTGAGCTACTATATGGAAATTAAATGGTATATAGTCTCCTTGAGAACATGCATACATCTTTGAGACTTAGAATATTCTATTACAAATGTCATAATAGGATTATTCATTTGAAAGGTATTTTTTTGTGTGTGTCTTCATATATTACACATATATAGCCAAGGCATGTAATCCATCTTTAAACAATGTTCATTTTAGAGGGTATTTTGTATGTATGTATGTGCATGTTCATACATGTGTGAGTGCAGACCAGAGGACAGCCTCTGAGTGTTACTTGTCTGGGTTTCCTGAAATAAGGCTTCTTACTAGCCAGAAGCTCACCAAGTAAGCTAAGGTTTTCTTGTCAGATCCACTAACAAGGATCCTCCTGCTTACAGTGCCCCTCCCCCCCAGTGCTGGTGTTACCAGAGAATGTGGCCCTCTCTGCTTTTCACTGTATGTGGGATTGAACTCAGGTTCTCATGCTTGCAAAGCAAGCACTTGACCAACCGAGCTAGCTGTGTCCCAGCCCCATGCAAGAGTATTTTTAACATGCTCAACATAATGGAAACATTCAGTCTGGAAATTGAGTATCCCTTTGTCAACATGTAAATCATATACTTTGCGTTTTGAGTTTATCCTGGATCAAAAGGTTCTCCTGAGCTTCTAAGGGATGAGTGGGCTGGAAGGGCAGAAATAGGGAACCTGTAAAGCAGTGCAGATGACAGGTTCAAATACGCAGACAGAGATCTTCCTCCAGCCACGTGTTATTATTTCCATCCATTCCCCTTCACTTCCATGTTGATATTCCATTCACAACTATTTTTTTTTCAATAACTGTCCAACACAAGCAAATGTGTGCTGTTTGTTGCAACGGGATTTACACGTCTGAAATGACTCAGCTTTCAACACTTCTCAAAGATTTGTGACTTGAGTCAAATTCCTAGTAAAAAGGACGAAAACACCTGACTAGAATCTGTCTGTTCCTCTGGAGCTCAGGGGAGGGATAAACAGCAGCATGTGTGGGGGGGGGGGTGCAAGCACCATCCTGTTGCTTCTTCTCGGAAGGAGGGAGCGCTCTTCCTCACTTCAGCTCTTCTGTCTTCATGTTTTCTAATACAGCTATAGTGGGATGGTCTTTCTGTATGCTGTGAATATATGTTGCTAGCTTTGTTTAATAAAGAAGCTGCTGTGGCCTATGGCAAGACAGGTTATAGCCAGGTGGGAAATCCAAGAGAGGGACAGAGAGAAGAAGGGTGGAGTCAGGGCAGACGCCAGCCCCCCTCCCAAGGAACAACATGCCAGCAGACCAGAAAACCCTCGGCCATGTGGCAATACATAGATTAAAAGAATCGAGTTAATTTAAGATGAAAGAGCTAACTAGCAAGAAGCCTGAGCCATAGACCAAACAGTTTGTAATTAATATAAGCCTCTGTGTGTTTACTTGGGACAAAGAGTGAGAAGCAGGAAAACTTATGGGTATATACAGGGATGTGCTAACCAGAAAAATCCATTCTTTCAGCTTTCTGGGTTAGGGTCAGGTGTTTCTTGATTGTCATTGTAATCTTCAGGTTCTTTAAAAAAAAAGAGCTTTGTCTTCAGATGTTGATCAGCTATTTCTTCCCTTAGCTGACTGCCTTGCCTTCCTCAAGATGGGAAACCACTTTATCAATGGTACTTAAGACTAATCTAGCCATATGATGTCACACAAAAGGGAAATCAGTCTACCCAAAACTAAAAAAAAAAAAAAAATTGCCCAAGTCGAATCTCTTTTAAATTCCTAGAATTTAGAAGAAAACTGTTTTCTTAATGTTCTATAACTTCCTCAATTTTCCTGTCTTAAATTGTGTTCCTTAAAATCATACATCTTAAATGCTTCATGCTCTACTTACTTTTCATCATAGAGGCACTTTCTGAAGCTAATATTTCAAAAACGGGACCTGAAAATACAATAAGATAAAGCAAATATATTTTTGAAATTTTTAGGTGTCTTTTTGTTAATTGTCTCAGGATTTCATATGTTCATACAGTGTATTTTGACAGTACCTGCCCCATCCCCATAACTCCTCTGGAAACACTCCGCTCTCTATCCCTCACTTCCTCCTAAACAAGAATATTTTTGTTGCTCACCATTCTCACATCAGTCACAATTCATTTCCACAGGTGACGTAGAGCTAGTGAGATGCTGAGTAGTCCTTTTAGTTTCAAAGAGTATTGGGAGGCATATGGAAAATACAATAGCCACACACCAAAATAAAGCAATTCTGTATGAGTTTCCTTCCATTTCAGATAAGGGCATCCAAAAGAAAAAAAAATTAAGATGTGGTAAGTGGCAGCCTCTGGCCTTTTGATCCAGAGAATCTCCAAAGTTGTATTCATAGTATTTACCAAAATATGTTTGTAGATCTTCTGGCCACACTTCCCATGTTTGTGCCCTCCCTTACAATTTCTGAATCTTCAGTGACATGAAGGAGGCCAAGGACTCTACTTTAAACAAACTCTTCAAATGATTAGTGTGATCCATCCCCAAGACTCAGGCAACATCACAGAAGAGGACAGCAGAAAGAGAGCTGGAGGAAAAGGGGGTGTACTGTGAAACAGTGTGTTCTGGATAGGATATGACCACTGAATCCACGAATGCATTGTAGTTATGGTTACCAGCAGAGGTTCCTCATAAGCACTAGTAAAAATTTTACAAAATATAGACAAAGATGAGAAAGTAGGAGGTGTATAGATGGGGATGGATATGATCAAGATAAAATTGTATAACTCTATGAACTTATTAATGAAGAAATAAAAGATACTCTTAAAATGAACAAGGAGTCATAATTAAATCCTCTCCAAACTTTCTATGCATGTTAAATTTTGAGAACAATTTGAGCTGCATTGAAACATACCACAAAAGAATCTTAAGCTAACACTTGAACATAAAATAAGAGTTAATCAGGGAAATTATTCCAAAGTGACAAAAAACTATGTAACCATAAACACCATAAAATTATACCATAATAGGAAACTGAAGAGATAAGATAGTTCAGTATGAAGATCACAGGATCATGAAGAAAAGGTAACTCAGCAAGTCATTTGAAAGACCTTTCATTAGACAATAACTTCAAATATTTAGAGAGTATAAAAAGATGTTTAGTTTCATTGGCAAGAAGGGGATGATGACCATCATATGTACATACCCACAGTGAACACAAACAGACACAATAATTTAAAATAATAAAAATATTTTTATTGGGTGCGAAAAGTTAGTAACAGAAGGAAATGAGTATTATTTTCTGATATACATGAAAAATAAAGCACAATATGTAAGTGTACAGGCAGACATGAATGAATACGGCCACGGCAGGAATGTCCACATGTACCACAATGTGTACTCCAAATTCTCCACAGTTTCTGTGGTGGGAAAAAAGACAGGTCACAGGAGAGAACCTAGTATTTATAAACACGTCCAATAATAAAGTCTGCTGGTGAGAATTCATTTGCTAAGTTCCTTAGGTAGTGTATTCCACCTCATTTTCTAGCAAAATCAATCAAGTAATACTAAATTGACCCAATTTCCCAAATTATTAATGATCTCTCCTTTTTCTCAATACTATTTTATCTCCTTCTTCTAAATGTTTTATTTCTGGTATACATACATGAAAAAATAAATCTAGTATTTTGATTAAAAAATAGAGATTTTTTTTAACTTCTCTGTTTTTCTAGCTTTTCTTCTTATGGGGTTTTATTTATCACATTTACAATTTACAGGAAAAAAATATCTCTTATCCTCTGTTTCACCTCACCTGCATTTTTATTTACCTTTAAACCTCTAACTCCATTATTACAGAAAAACTTTGTAACTCAGAGAGAACTCCTTTTCATAGACATATGGTGTCTGGCCGATGGGGATTAACCACTTCCAATCTGATTTGACAAATTAGACTGAAATGAAATACATCCTATTTTGAAAAGACACCAAATATCAGGCTGAAGATAGAGCCTAGTGGCTGAGTGCTGACAGAGCCCATGGAACACCCTACTTTCAATTTACATAATTGGGGAATGGAACACCATAAAGTACCACTACATTATCTCTTTGCAAAACCCTGGTAATAGCCACATTTAAAGCCTGCCGCATACATAGAGATCTTAGACAAGCTCTTAATTAAGCATGAAAGTGTATAACCTTCTTCAGCTTCCTAATCTGGTGCTGTAATGAATCACCCCCTTTGGCGTGAAAGGCAACTGCCAGTCTTGTTCCTAAGACAGCTTACCTGTGAGAACATAGCCTATATGAGACCTGGCTGAATTTTCCCACGGGGGTGGCTCTGTTTGCATTGTAGGGTTACATAGGAAAGGAGGTAGCTAGTTACGCCAAGGGAGAGCTACAATTCCAGGACTGCAAGCAAACTCTGTGTTTTCGGATATTTTGAGAGACGGTCTCCGTCTGTTCTTTTTAAATGTGGCTCTGAAATATCAATTAGACTGGAGTTAGAGTTAAGGGAAATATGAGTTTCAAGTTAAAAAAGGTCATGTGTAAACCCAGATGAGCATTATCACTGTGCGGTATGGGAAATAGATTTTGACTTATTCTTCAGATGAAAAGACAGATGAACTCCCAAATGCTGCTAAACAGCCATCTTTCGTATTCATAGGGATAGAGAGATGCAGATAGAGGCTTGCTATGGCCAATGACTTCTGACTCTAGTTAGCAATGATCTAAGAAAAGAAAGGCACTTGCCCTCTTTGATGGAGACACACATGTGTATTCATGTTAGTTTTGTTCTCCAAGGCAGACTTTGTATTTCTTCTTTCTGTGTCTAGTAATAAAACCCTGGAAAGTTTAAGTGATCCAAGCCCATATATTTCAGTAAGCAACAGAAGATTCAAGCTGAGCATATCTGACTTCAGAGCCTGTTTTTAGCCTCTTACATCATAAAGATTTTTTGTCATTGCATCTTTACCTAAAACATAAAAATACACACAGGAATGAAGTGAAGCAGACATGCAGGAAGGCTGAGGTGCATTAATACATATGCGTATATTATATATAAATATATGTATGTGTGTACACATAGTTATTATATATATCTTTACATACATATGAGAAAGACAGATTGAAAATCAGTCTAAATTCCTTATTTTGTACTTCTTCCATAAAAGAAGTAAGCTACCATCATTTTTAGACAATACTGTATTTACACTCTAAAACCAGCTGGGGAATGCACCTGGCCTTAGTTTCTCCCTTCCTGCCTATTCTCAGAGCCCCATTTTCTCTTTCGTATTTTTGTTCTGGTAGTTGAGTGTTGAAATTTTTCCCATTTCCATTTATTTCTCTTTTAAAATGCTTTCTTTCTTTCTTTCTTTCTTTCTTTCTTTCTTTCTTTCTTTCTTTCTTTCTTTCTTTCTTTCTTTCTTCCTTTCTTTCTTTCTGGCAGTCTCCTGTGGATAATAATCTTTGAGGCTGTGGTTCGAATAAGAATTATTCTATCAAGGTGTTAAGACATCACCATTGCCTCATCTTTAAATATTGTCTTGCACTTGTGGATATTTTGAGGACTGACTGAATACTCTCTGCAATGCAGGGTTTCTCAACACTGGAGCCTCCCCTGCAGCTGCCATTCATCCCTCTTATCCTTTCCTATTAGTTGTTCTCTGCTTTTGAATCTGATCCCTGAATCCTATTATGGAAATTACTGCCCTCTTTGAATGTCTTAATCCCTAGAGGCTGGCCAACCCCTCCCAACATCCAACAGGAAGGAGAGAGGAACAAAGAAGAAAGAAATCTGAGCGCTTGCTTTCCTACAGCTCTCAATGGAGCACAGCAGATGTATCGCTTTGCACAAGCCCAACTCCAGTGGCCCCGCTTCCTATTTGCTTTGCCAGGGGAATCTGTGTGATCATTCCTGCACACACCCACATCATATGTTCACTCACAACAGCCTAAATTCATGCTGCGCTGGAAGAATTGTGAGCTTTTCTAGGGTACGTTTTCCAAATGCTTTTCATCTTTAACATGAAAAAATAATTTCAGTAAGTATCCAGAAACCTTGCTAACTAGTTTCCAAAGATTGGAAGTCATTTTCTAAAGAAACACTGTCATATTGCTGTGAACTCAAAACTCAGTCCATCTGTGTTAAACTGAACATGGTCCACAAAAGTTGTTATGGGGTGGTGAAAAATGGTTCAAGATCCCACAGTAGGTAAACAAATAGAATTGGACTACAAGTGTCATTTAAATATCCTTCATTCATGGGCCTTGGCTAACTCCTGTGATCTTTGCTTTTCCTGCCACTCTAAGGGTTCACTATTGAATTAGGGTATTTAAAATTAGGTTTTATTTCAGATTTATCTTATGCTTGGAGTATCATTATGCTATCTCAATTTCTTTCAGTTGGACTATGCCTTTTCTCTTAATATCAAATGGTTGACAGTCTCCATTTCTTCCTTCCAAATTCCAGGAGACTCATTTTACTGTTTTGGTTCCTTCAAGATGCCCTATTTGGTCAGTTTTTTTACACTTAGACTGTTTCCTGGCTTCTCCCAAAATGTGAGGTGGCTGTTTTCCTAGTATGACCAGTAGCTGCTAGTCTTATGCAAATAAATTTGCACCAGTTTAAAAGCCAAAAATTAAAGAAATAGTATGGAAACACACACACACACACACACACACACACACACACACACACGCATAGAAAACATGACAGAGTCAGGAGAGTAATCTAAGTTATTTACCGGCTTACTAGATTCGTGTGTGTATGTGCGCGCGCGCGCGCGCGTACTCGCATGGGCTTAAGCAAGGGATTCCATCTCTTTCATCCCTATTCGCTTTCCATCCTGAGACATTGATCTCATTTGTTTCTCTCTGCCTGGCTTTTATAGAATTCTGGAACTTAGCCAAAACATTTGGTAACATTAGAGTCTTCAAACCTCTTTCTCCAAAGCTTGAAACAGCCTTGGACAAGGTTGAGAAGTGTCATCTCCCAATTATCATGTCAGCACAGGATGTCACCTTGTGAGGCAATAGAATCTTTGCGGGTATAATTAACAAAAACAAGATCGTAGTGGCTTCAAGTTTGCCCTCAATAAATGACTAGTTTTCTGCTATGAAGGCCAAGTACAGACAAGCTGATAGACAGGGGAGAATTCCACATGAAGAGTCAGATGTTCAGAGCAATGTAACTATGAGCAAAGGGAGTGAAAGGACCAACTCTAACTACTACTGGCTAGTAGAACAGAACAGATCTGATTTCACCTGAAGACACCTTGGTTTGTAGGGTCTGGAGCTGTGAAGGAATAAGTGTCTGTGTCTGAAGTCATTTAATTTTTAGAATTTTGTTGCAACATTCATCTGGAACTACTACACTCAGACAATAAGTGGTGTCAGAAAATGGACAGTTTCTTTGGATTAGAACACAAATCTTCTTGTTTGTTTGTTTGTTTTTCAGGAGTTAGAATTACAGGCAGGTGTGAACTACCCGATGTGGGCACTAGAAACCAAACTCAGGTCCTCTGTAAGAGCAGCAAGCTCTCTTAACCAGTGAGCCATATTTTTCTTTTAAATTCTTGGGTAAGATCAGCCAACATTCTTAGTCATCAGGTGATCTCTCCAGCCTCTACTTTTTCTTTTTAATCTGTAAACCACCCTAAAATTGTGTAGCCATGTACTTTTGTAATAGGTTTTAAAAGTTTTGCTGATAGCATGCTTGGCCATCCTGCTCACCTCAAACTCTTCAGTTTATTCTCCTCTCCTCTGTCAGTATGATGTTTAATGTAACCCTGGAGTACATACTCTGAAACTTTTCTAAGGTTCAAATTGGGCACCCCAAACCAACCCCTCAATTGTCCAATCTTTCTCATCAAAACAACTCTATTGCCTAGCATTACTTAACAGCATCCCTCACCTCCATTGTCCCAAGTTACAGATGCCTTAAGCTGGGGCTTTTTGAACAAATATTTTGCATGCCAATTCCCCTTGATGAAAACTCTCAGAGGCAGACACCAGTTTTCATTCATGAAGGTCTACAACACAATGCCTCATACATTCATTCAATACCTGTTTATTTCTAGCCCACAAAGCAAAAGTGAACGTGTCAAAGTACTTAATAGATGTTTGGTCAACATGCCTTGGAGCAAAATAAATGACACCTGAAGCTTTCCCTTTCTTCATTTCAACCTGCTGAAAACTGAGCCTGGGCTTCTTGCTTTCATTTCTTTACCCTTATGATTAAATTATTTGATACCAGACACCACTGACATCCCTTCCTTTCTTTGTAACAGGAAACACCACCAAGAATTGCTTAATTTTTTTAAAGTCACTGCACTTGTAAATATCACAGGGTAGAGAGCTGGAGAGATGCCAGAGTGACTAACTTTACAACCCCCACTCTGTCTAATCTCCCCTACATATTCAGCTGGTTTAAGAATTTTGTCTTTCCTTCAAACTAGAAAAGGAAGTAGAAGTTGGAATTAGGTATACAAATAGTTGAAAAGTATTCCATGGTTTTAGGGGTTGTGCTAGAGTACCATTTTTAATAGAACTATCCAAGCCTCTAATTCAAGAATGGAACTCCCCACACTTTTTGACACAAACCCTATCAGCAGGACCCATGGAGCTAGGCCACAGAAATAAATAATTAACCTCTCCACATAGGAAGGCTGGTGAACAATGCAGTTCTCAGTCTGTGCACACAGAGTTCTGCCAAGAGGAAGAAACATATAAACGAGGCAACTGCTGAATACATTGCCAAAGAGGGAGGATTCCCCATCATTCACAAAGTGTTTGAAACATGAAATCAGATCCGAGAGCAGCCTGGCTTCTTCAGAATGGCAGTGGTGGTGAAAATGACCGTCTGGTGCTACAGACATTACCAGATACTACACAGCCTGTTCTCATGTTTTTAGTCACATCAGATTCCTTCCAGAAAGGTCTCATTGTATCAGATGACCAGATTCTATCCTGGACTCTTAATCAGAGCCCCTAATGCTGGCTCACACACAGAGCTAAAATGCAATAATAAAGTTTTCAAATGATTCTGCCATATGCACGAGGTACGTGATACACTGGATGCTTCCTTCTGGCTTGAGTACCTTCCAATAGTTATTAAAAATGACCTTAGGCTGATTTCTTAAATCCATACTCTAATCCTAAACTCCCTAAAAAAAAGAGTGGTAATATTACCACGCTCTCAGGAGAGTGATATAAATGGTGCAGTGTGACAGAGTAAATGTGTAATACGTGTCTGTAGTTATTAGCCTTGCAAGAGACTCTGAGTCAAAGATAGTAGAAGGTCCCACTTGACTCTCAGGGTAGTTTATTCAGAAATTCCCTGTCAGTGAGCTGGGGAGAGGAAGGTGCACTCCATAAAGTGATGGCTGCAGAAGCTTGAAGACCTGAGTGAGTATGAGTCCCAGCACTGGGGTGAAAGGAGCGTGGAATGTGCCAGTTTCTAGAACTCTCTTGAAGTC